TATGTTTAATTATGCAGTTAACCATATTTTGATGTAGACCATATTTTCTTTGAAGTCATTGCATTGTCAATTTTTGTTTTACTGTATTATGAGTATAGTATAAAATGTGATCTTCAAAAGTGAACAAATGGAGTGTGCAATCAAGTACTTGGATTTAAGTTCTGATGTTGTACAAGCTAGATGCATTGACTTACAATATTTTCTAACTCAGTTTTTTTTTGCAAAAAAGCAATAGTTTAGTATATGAGCAGTTTGCACATCGTTCATTAGGAGGAATAAATTCCCATAAGTGGGATAAAGCAAAAATATTTTGTGCATATTTATAATCTTTTTTAAGATTAATTAATTAAAATAGATGTATGCTAAAGAATTTACTTTGTTTGGCTTACTCCAAGGATGCATCTTTAGCTGAAAAATGAAGTAGGATAGCCAAAATCTCAAACAATTTGTTTTGTTTTCTTATATATAAGTTGGAAGAATCAAAAGTTTTGCATTATTGTGTGTTATAAGGCCAGGTGAATAAAAAAAGCAATCGCTTTTACGTAGTAATTGATCAGTTTTACATGAATAAAAACGTTAGCAGTTTTGCACAAATTTTTATTCATGTAAAGTTAAGCAGTTTACTCATTTTTCAATTGCTCAGCTTTACGTGAATAAAAACTTAACCAATATTGCTAAAAAAAATTATTCGCGTAAAGCTGACCAATTATTGTATTACAGTTTCTGTGAAACTTGGTTGCTAGGAGTTGGTAGTTGTGTTTTTTTAAAGACATTATTGTGGGGGTTAAACAACGATAAAATGACAGAATATCCAGAATCACGGAACAGAAAAAAACAAGTGTTTTTACATAGTGGTTCAAATAATCAAAAGCTATGCAACTCTGCAGATAATCATCTTGACAAGTTTGTACAATTATATCAGTTTTAATTCAACCATTTCAAACATCTTTAGTGATATTTCCATCTAATAGGTTGGAAAATATGTTAAATAAATTAAATAAATAAAAACCAAACATTTTAAAAGAAACTGCAATAATATATAGCTTGACAAAGATTGAGGGAAATCAAATAACCAACAAAAAGTATATCAAGTTGAAATAGATACTCTTCATTTGTAAATCAGCAGAGAAATAAAGTTGCAAAATTGCAATAAATATCTCCATTAAAATATTCTGTAGTGTGGAATGCTTCATCTTTAAAGAAATATTCTGTAATGTGGAATACTTCATCTTTACAAGAAAGCTTTGATACTAAAGTTATTTTGCTTTGGTTATCAAATATATTAGAGATTGAACACTAACGATGCAAAACAAAAATGTGATGTGTTTGTTTGTTGGTGCAGAATGTATCCAAGAAAAAAGTTTGATACTTAAAATGAATTAACTAAATATATAAATAATTAATGATCTTAGAATTAAAATTTTTTTAAAATTTAGGTTGTGTTTTCATGCCTAGGAATATTAAATTTAGAAATAAAAAGCAATAAAATGAAATTTATTCAATATGATTAAATAAACATCATTTTAAATTTTTATAGATTTTTAAAATAATTATTGTGCATTCGTATTGTACTGCAAATAAATTTTTAAGAAAATATTAAAATAATATTGTTTTTTGTAATAAAATAAATATTTGTTTTTTGTTTTTTTTTTATAATTATTGTTTCTAGGTTTTTACATGCTGTTTATAAAAGACTTGGTTATTATGAAACAATTGACGCCGTAAATGTTGCAAAGTAAGTAATGAATCTAAATGCAATATCATATAAAGGAGATTTTATTAAAAGTCAAAAGTTGATTTCTGTCTTACTGATTTTTTCTATATTATTACAAATGAACTACAGTTGGTTATACACTAAATGTTTATTAACAAATTTAATCAGTTTTTATTGTTAAAAAAACTTTCAATGTATAACCAACTGTTGTTCATGGAATTTTTGAAGTTTAGTTTGTCCAATAGTTATCTATACAGTTCCGATAATTTTTTGTGCGTGCATAGTGTGTGCATTTCATTCAATATTTTGTGCGCGCATTTCAGCTAAGAAGAAAATGCATATATATATATATATATATATATATATATATATATATATATATATATATATATATATATATATATATATATATATATATATATATACACATACTGTCGTGTGCAGTAAAATAGTAGTGCGTATTTTATTTTTCTATCAACAAACTTTGAACATCAAAATATATTTTTCTATTGTTTATTTTTTATCGTTATTGTTCATAAACTAAATGTTGTAATTATAATAGTATAAAAAAAATTAAAGAAAGATAATTGTAGCACTAGTAGTTAGAAGACCAACAGGTGCAGCATATAAGCCACAATTTACATTAAAGACCGTAAAACATGGAGATTCAAAAATAATGATATGGGGTTGTTTTTCTTACTATGGTGTTGGGCCTATACATCGCATAGAAGGTATCATGGATCGGTTTGTATATGTAAAAATACTTGAAGAGATCATGCTGTGTTATGCTGAAAAAGAAATGCCATTAAAATTTTTGTTCCAGCAGGACAATGATCCCAAACATACGAGCAAGTTAACCAAATTGTGGTTTAATGAGAACAAAATCGTGATGGAGTGATGGAGTGGCCAGCACAATCCCCCGACCTCAATCCGATTAAAAACTTGTGGATTGATGTTAAACAAGCAGTTTCTGAAAATAATCCAAGAGGTTGTAATCAATTGTGGGACATAGTACAGTCAGCATGGCAAAATATATCTGTCGAACGATGTCAGAATCTTGTTAATTCCATGTAACGAAGATGCTTGGGGGTTATTACAAATAAAGGTCATGCAACAAAATACTAATGTAGAGCTTCAAAAAAAAATTTTTATTGTAATAAAATTTAATTATTTTTTGACCTTTTCATAAAAAATAATTTTTACTACTATTTTATTGCACAGTCTAAAAAAAAAATACGAATGACCTTTAATCGATAATATTGAAATTTAAAACCATACAGTGCTGCAATTATCTTTCTTAAGTTTTTTTTATACTATTATAATAACAACATTTATTTTATGAACAATAACGATAAAAAAACAAACAATAGAAAAATATATTTTGATGTTCAAAGTTTGTTGATTGAATAATAAAATACGCACAACTATTTTACTGCACATGACAGTATGTATATATATATATATATATATATATATATATATATATATATATATATATATATATATATATATATATATATATATATATATATATATATATATATATATATATATATATATATATATATATATATTATTTTGATTCACTCCCAAAGAGGCTGCAAACAACCACTATTAAGTTTGAAGTTACTAGGAAAAAAAAAGAATAGAATTATAAAGCAAAAAAAAAAAGAATAGAGTTATAAAGCAAGTTGACAGAAGACTTAAAAAATTGAAGGTTGTAAAAATATAGGAAAAATTAGAAGAGTCAGAAAAGCATTAAGATGGGAGACAGTTCTAAAGGGTTGAGGTGTGGGGAAAAAAACTAGATGAATAAAAGTTTTTAGAATATGCAGGAACAGATACAATAAACAAATGAGACTTTGCTGAATGGTAAGTCAAGTGAGAATAAGTTTCAGCTGATGGAACTTTAGATGATAGCTCCTTTGAGCAGCAACCATGATAGTAATTGTGGAAAAGAGAAAGAGATGCATCTTTATGGCAATAGGAGATGCTCAACCTTGGCGGAAAGAGTGGGTCCAACTACGTTTGCGATGCATTTTTTTGTACATTGTCTGAGGTTTGATTTGAAGTAAACAAGGTTATAATTTTATTTTAAATCTATCAAGTCACTGCAATATTTTGAAAAAGGACAGAAGTTTAATTAGCATAATTTATTTCATACAATAAGAACACAATAAAAATGAAAAAGGAGTATTTTGTAATAATAAGCAAACATAAAATTTTGGATTTTCCAGAAATTTGACATCTTTTATTTGCTGAAAGCTTAATAAGGTCTGGTTTTATGTCTTGGCTAGCTACCACTTTCATTATGGAAGACAAATGTTCATCAGTAAGCCTGGACCTCTCAGGGGTTTTATTTCATTTCATGTGTGAAAAAAGTTGCTCACAAAGATAAGTACTGCCAAACATTGCATATATTTGACAAGTAAATTGAATCATCTTGGGAAATTGATGTGGTGGTAAAAATGAATAAAACTTGGGTACACCAACATCAGTAAATTGTTGTTTGAGAACAGAATTACACTGAAGTTCAATTAATTGCATTTGCAGATCTTCTTCCACTTTTTCAATATCAAAGTGTGCCAGATTATAACTTGCTTTGACTACGAGTTCATTTGATTTGTTCACCGAATGAAAAATATTTTGTTGCTTCTTTAGTTTGGTTTTTAGTTCATTTATTTTGTCTGTCCTTTTATCTTTTCGATAAATTTCAAATTTTTCCTGATGAGTTTTATAGTGCCTCTTGATATTGAATTCTTTCGGCACACTAACTTTTTGTTGACAAATCAAACAAATAGTACTTTCATTAATGCTTGTAAAAAAATATAGCAGTTCCCATTTTAATTGAAAAATTCTTTTTTCATCTTTAATTTTACGTTTCCTGCTTGTACATGGTTTTGAATGAGACATTTTGATTTTAGTGACAATAACAAAAAACAAAAATAGTTCAATGTTAAACAATAACAAGATGGCGACTGATCTATTAGGCCGGGTGAATAAAAAAAAGCAATTGCTTTTCCTCAGCATTTTTGGAGTAATTGTTCAGCTTTACAATAATAAAAATTTTAGCAATTTTTATAAAATTTTTGTTTATGTAAAGTTGAGGAATTACTCAGGGTTTTGGAGTAAATTGCTCAGCTTTATGTAAATAAAAATTTGAGAGATTTTGCTTAAATTTTTATTCACATAAAGCTGAACAATTACTCCAAAAATGCTGAGTAAAAGCAATTGCTTTTTTATATTCACCCACCTTATTTTCTCATCGATTGTTAAAATTACAATATATCATCATAATTTTTTAAAAATTTTTTATGGTTTTAGTTTCAGAGTTTCAATTTTATTAAAATGTTAGAAAATTAATTTAGTATTCATGTTCTATTTAATAAAGGATTTCAGAAAACTATTTGTGATTTTTTGATCGTTGATTTTGACAAAACATTTTTGAAATGCATGTCTGTGGGCTGCCATATATAATTAAATGATAAAAATGTTGGGGGCCTCTATTAAAGGTCTTGCGGGCCGCCACTTTGACATGCCTGACCTAAGGGAATAAAAGGAGAAACTGAACCCAAGTTAGGATTGTGATAGAGTAGACATAAATCATGGAGTGAAGGTAAATGATTAGTGTTGTCAAGAAAATGAGTCACAATGTTAAGTATCTGAGTAAGAGATTGAGAAATTTTAAAGGTTTTAATGCCAGCAGATCAGTGGCATTAAAGCCAAGCCATTCAGTGTAATGAGCATTAAAGATCAATGAGCATTTGATCAGAAATTACATCCAAAAGAGTGCAGTCTTGGAAGAAGGGTAACGATAAAGAACAAAGAAAAATGTTACAGAATGAGAGGTGCTGAGCTAAGAATGTTTAAAGGATTCGAACCTGATTTCATGACAAATAGGTGTTAATAGCCAGCTTAATAGATGAAGAAGGGGTTTGAGACTGGTTAGTAGAATTATACTGCTTATCCCTAGAGTCTTTGCCTAGGAGACCTCCTACAAGACAGTAGCTGGATGCAGTTAACATCTGCTCAATATGAGTATTTTTGTTGAGACACCATCTCTAGTTTTTACTTAACTAAGAGCCCCAAGATTGGAAAAATTTAGCTGAATGCAGTTAACATTTGCCCAAGATGAGTATTTTTATCACTATCTCTAGCCTTCACGAAGCCAAAAGAAGAGTTAAATAAAGATATGAATTTAACAACGGAGGCTGGGTTGATTTGAATGTCTAACAATGGGTAACCTGTTTAATTGGAATGGAAGAAAAAGAATGGTCATAAGATTCAAGTGTCGAGTTTAAAAAAAAGTTCTTTACAAATAGCTTTGCCTTATCCTTGGGAGAGGTAATAAGATCAGTCCTATGAATGAGAGAGGAAATATATATATATATATATATATATATATATATTAATATATATATTTATATATATATATATTTATATATATAAATGTATATATATATATTTATATATATAAATATATATATATATATATATTTATATATATTTATATATATATATATATATTTATATATATTTAAATATATTTATATATATTTAAATATATATATATATATATATATATATATATATATATATATATATATATATATATATATATATATATATATATATATATATATATATATATGTGTGTGTATAAATGTTAGCTATAAATTTGCATGCATTATTTCATAATATATTTATATATATTTATATATATATATATTTATATATATAAATGTATAATTATATATATTTATATATATTTATATATATAAATATATATATATATATATTTATATATATTTATATATATATATATATTTATATATATTTAAATATATTTATATATATTTAAATATATATATATATATATATATATATATATATATATATATATATATATATATATATATATGTATATATATATATATATATATATATATGTGTGTGTATAAATGTTAGCTATAAATTTGCATGCATTATTTCATAATCTTATGTTAAAGTGATCTTCATAGATATCAGATAGATATATAAACATAACTTGATCAATTTTCAAAAATAATCATATGTTAACCATTTCTAGTGTTTAGCAAATTGTTTTATGTTTCATATCTGAAAAGTTATATGGATATAGTTTAATAGAAATATTTTTTAATTTCAACTGAATTGTGTTTTAGAAGTTTTTGGTTAAAAATAGTCAATTTCTCAATAGTTCAAAAAATAGTTCAATAGTCAAATTCTCAATTTAGTTTGTTAAATTCATTTACTAATAAAAAAATGTATAAACTTGAAGAAATTAAAATAAATGGAACTAAAAATAAAATAAAAGTTGTTTTGACAATTTTTATTAAAACCTTTATAAGTCATTATAATCATATAAAGTATTTAATAATAAGTTAATAAAAACATCATATCATTGGTGTTGTTAAACACACAATGAGAAACAAAAACTATAATAAACATAATAATTTTATACATTATATCAGATTATAAATATTTCAAAACTTAAAAATTCTTTTCAAACTTTTAAAAGTGTTTTTAATATGCAAATAAACATTACTTCACTTTAAGGAAAATAAGAAGGAAAAAAAAAACATGCTATTGAAGAAAGCAATTATAATATTTAAACATGGTTAATTAAAAAAAATTGCAAATTGCATTTATTTCAAGTAAAATTTTGCATGCTTTTGTAAACGCAAAATTCATACTAAAACATAATTCTTCGACAATCTACTTAGTAACTGATGGAGAAAAAACATCCTAACTGAGGTACTTGGATAGACAAGATGAATTTCAGCTCTTGCTCATTAGGAAAAAACCATCTCACTCAAACAGGATGTTTTTAAGGTCATGTGATGTTTGTTTACAAATAATTATTCATGTCATTTTTAAATTAAAAACTTAAAATAAAAGTTTAAATAAAAACCATTTTGATTTACAAAAAATTGTTTTATAACTTTTAGCTTTTACTAGATGCAAATTAAAAGTTTGATAATATTGCGTTTTTTACAAAATAAAATATCGTAAATAATTTATAAATAACTAACGAAAGAATAACTTTCCTCTTTAAAAAACTTTAGAACAAATGTTTTATAACCATACATGGTCAAACGACTTAAACTAAAAAAACAAGCAAGTGCTATTTAAATTTTGTAAGAAAGCTGTGCAGTCTACCCAAGATGGTTTCAAGCTTGTGTTCATTTGAAGAATTTTAACCCCGTCTAATAGAAATCCTGATAGTTCATAGACAAGATCTTGCCTAAGCAGGGTGAACAATTTTAGATATGAATGCAATGTTAAAATTATGTGAGCTTTAAAGGAGAAGCGAGATCTCTGAAATATTTCTATCCCAGTTAGGCAGATGTTTTTTATCTATATGAACAGCTCTTACTTATTTTACAGTTATTGAAGAAAGTAATCATGTTTTCTTTTAAAGTCTTTGAAAGTGTGTTTTAAATTTTAGTAACTAATTGTTTTTTTATTATAAATATGTGTTTTTTTTAATTATAAATGTGTTTTTTTATTATAAATATGTGTTTTTTATAATAAATAAAAAAACTACCAATTGCATGGTTATTTTGAAAAAAAGTTTTTTATTATGTTAATAAAATGTCAAGTAATATAATTGTAATTTTTAAAATACGAAATAAAATGTCTTGAATAATTTTTTTTAAATAGGTATCTGAAAAAGCAATCGTATGTTGATCCAAATAGGTTTGCAATATGGGGATGGGTTAGTTAATTGATTTTTTTATATATTTTTTATACGAATTTTTGTTTTTGACTTTAATGATATTGCTTATTTTTAGTCATATGGTGGTTTTTATGCAGCAACAGTATTGGCAGATTCACATGGTGTAATAAATACTGCAGTCTCTGTCGCTCCTGTTACTGATTGGAGATATTATGGTATAATTGTAATTTTAACTTCATGTTTGATTTACTGGTTTGCAGTTGGTTTAACTAACCAATAAATTTTAAAAATTTATATTTTACTGTTGTTGTTTTTTTTTGTTTGTTTATTATTGTTTAATAGTTTTAAATTTTTTTAAAATAATAGACCTAATTGTTAGGTTAAGATTATAGATTCTTTTTTACTTTTAGTTATTTTTCAAAAAATTTATCAATTGTTTCTTACTAACAAGGAAGCAACTCAAAATAGGGTTATTAGTAAATAAATATTAGTAAATATAAATTAAGCAAGTTTCTTTTAGATTTAACATATCATCTTAATTAACAATTTAGTATTGTAAAGTGTTTGAAATACAATATAAATACAATATTGTACAAATACAGCATAAACTTAATCTATTTAGTTATGCTTGCTTACAGTTGGTGTTTACAGTGCTTGCTTACAGTGTTATATTGGTGTTTAGTTAACAACATAAAATAACTTCATAACATCAGTTGCAAAGTTCCTTTTCAAAATGAGTTATAATTTATGTTAACCAAACATCTTCATCTATATAGTTGTTTTGAAGAGTAGAAATTTTCATTTGAGTTTCACTGCATAGTCTAGCTTTAAGATCTGAATTGTTAACGAACTTTATAAATAACAAGGATGACCGATTTTTCCTATAAATAACTTTATAGGAAAAATCGATCATCCTTGACGATGAGTCTTACTTCACGCTGTCACACTCAACAATTAATGGAAACAGCACCTACTACTCTAGCAACAGAGACAAGACTCCACCTAGTGTTAAATATCGCAAAAAGCGCAAGTTCGAACCCAAGGTGCTTGTCTGGCTGGCCGCTTCTGACAAAGGTGTTTCAAAACCATTTTTTATACCCAGCGGCCTTGCAGTCAATAAAGCCATCTATAAAATGAATTGTATTAGGAAAAGATTAGTGCCGTTCATCAACGCTTATCATGCCGATGGTAATTACATATTTTTGCCGGACCTGGTTCTACAGGTTCTTCCAAATTGTTTACAGTCCCTACCTGATAAAACCTTTACAAGCTTTTGTACAGTTGTTTAGTCAACAGTATATAGACAGTGAAGAAGAAATTTATCTTGACTTAAAACTTATTGTTTTAGATTTTGAAAACATTTTCTTTCAAGAGTATTGGTTAAAAGCAGTTGATTATGATAGTTGTTTCGTGTTATATAAAATTCTTAACATGTTACAACTAAAAGTCCGGTCAAACTTTGAAAATGAATATCTCTTTAATGGAGTTATCAATTTTACATATTTGAAAAGCATACTAATGAAATTTGTATTTTGCAAAATAAAATAAAATTTATTTGTTTATCAGTCCATTTTGCCAAACATGGTCATCTCTTGTAAAGGTATTTTCCCCAAGCCTATGTAAGCAGTTTGACCACTACCAACTTTTCCTTCTGATCCTTTCGTTTTGTTGCAGTATATCATACATGGTTGATTTTAAAAAGTTTTCCATTCAAAAATGATTAACTATAAACATTTTGTTCTCTTTTGGATGCAAATCCAAAAAAATGTGCACTTGCTAATGGAGTGCCTCTTGATTATTCGATCTTTTAGACATGTTTAATTAGGTTCTGAATAAAAATGACAATAGTATATTGGTTTACCTGATTAGCAACTTTGAAGCCTTTTACAGTTTAAAATTGTATTCAAAAAGTCTGAGGGAGTCACATCCGTAGGCATTTTTTCAAACTATGATCTAGATTATCAAAAATTAACCAGGAGTCTGGTGAATTATACAACTCAAGATCTTGTGGCTGGTCTTTATTAACAAAAACTGCCTTCAGAAGGATTTCAGCTTTGATTCTATCTGTTTTAACATCATTTGATTTGAATCAATTACTTTTACTATCTCTGTCTAATGATCTCTTTCAGAAGATGCTAACGCCAGCATCATGGTTAACGGATCTAAACACTTTGTATGATTTTACCATGATTTTAATACAGCCTTTGCAGCAAGCTCATATTCAGTATAATGGAAAATCTGCCAACAGTCTTGTTGATCTTAAAAATATGAAAAAGTCTTGTTGATCTTAAAAATAGCTAAAAAACTAATTTTTATAAGTTAACTTACTTAAAGTCCCAATACAATTGTTCAAATACATAGTACTTGGGTGTTTAGTACAAGGGTGCTAAGTGTTAATACAGTTCAGCTAAATTTTTAGTAAAGATGTTTTTGTTTTTTTAATTTAAGTATGGTTTGTGTATAAATTGTTTTCTCATTTCTTGTTATACATGTTTTTTGTTAATAATGTTAATGTTTTTCTGGGATGGATTTGAAAGTTTATTAATTTTTTTTTTTTTAAATGTATTAGCAAAAAGTAAGTTATTATCCATTTTTTGTTTGTTTGTTTATTTTGCAATTTTATTTGAAAAAAAGTAAACAATTTTGTTTCTAAATAAACTTTTTTATTAATAATTTTATTCAACGAATCATTTACTTCTTTAGATACTGTTTACAGTGAAAGATATATGGGACTGCCTACTGTAGCTGATGATTTAAAAGGATATGAGGTAGTTTATGATTTTATTATAAAAAATTCTTTTTTTAAAAAAAAAAACATTTGTCTCTTTATATAAATTATATTTTTTTATTCATATCTTGAATTTAAAAATATCTCAATCATTTATTTTAAAAAATGCAAAAACATTTAACTTGTTATAAGCAGATTTCTGAACATTAGGAAACTGCATTGATGTCAAAAGCTTCTCGATTTAAAGACAAAAATTTTCTACTTATACATGGAACTGCAGATGGTAAGTAAATAAATACGAAGAAATTTTTATTTTATTATCTTTATAGTGTATTTATGTAGAACAGCAGCTGAACTCAGCAATTATTATTAGCAGTAATATATGTGTGTATTAAATTCCAAAAACAACCAAAAAAAGAAGCTATCAATGTTTAACTTAATCATAAACTCTAATATTATCATGGGGTTTCAAAGGATTACTATATCAATCCAATTCAAGGGATTATTATATCATGTAAAAGGAATATGCTCTCAAAACATCCAATAAGAGATTAATTTTCTGATAAACATATTTGTCAAAAATTGACCATGACAAATACAATCCTAGTAATATTGTCAGACTAAATAAAAAATGACTTAAAAAATACCACATCTTAACTATTGGATAACCAAATAATACCTTGAAAATATTTTGAAACTTTTGAAATATTTATATAATTACTATGGATATCCAATGTTGGTCCCAAAATTATTATTTAAATTAGAAGCTGATTAACATCAGTTTCTAATTTAAACTATTTTGCAACAAATTATAACTGCCTCTAAACTCAAATCTAGGACCAGCTTAAATGATCATGTAGTTGCATTTGTATTGGTCAGACTAAAATGAATGTTATATCCAAATGTTGAGCTACAGAAAAGTAGTAATAAAGAAAAATGGACTAGTTTGGTTGTTACTGAACATGCCAAGCTACCAAAATATAGAACTAGGAAAATTAGGAAGTCACTCAAAATAAGCAGACTCAGAGTTTTCCAAGAGTTATGAAGTGGCAAGAATGTTTTTAAAGGGGATGACTGTCATAATGTGACAATAAAAACATTTTTTAGGGGTCTTTTTTTTACTAAATTTAACTGATGTTGGCATTTGAAAAGTGTTTTGCTTTTTAATGGTGCATTTGGAGCATAAAATAAGTTACAGCTGTATGCCAAATATGAAATCTATTTTAAATGCACACGGTTACCTCATTATAAACAACAATAAAATTCGCCACTAAAAAAAATTGCAATAACAAGCATTGTTATAAAGATCCTACATTAAAGTTTTGCTTTATAAAGACGTTAACGAAAAAGATGATTTAAGATTAAGATTTAAGATCAAGATGATTTAAGCTTCAATGATCTTGCTCATTGGTGTAAACTATGACATCTTTTAAAGTTTTTATTTTACTTTATCTAAAAAATGTGAAATAATATTTGTGTGCATTCTAAAAAAAACTATTGTGTGTGTGCATGTTTATGTATAAAGTTTAAATTAAGTTATTCAATTTTTTTTTTTTTTTTTAGACAATGTACATTTTCAAAATTCTGCACAACTTGCAGCTGCTCTTGTTAAAGAGAAAGTTAAGTTTACCACACAAGTAAGTTATTATTTTTTCTAATTTTTAATTTTTTATTATTTTATATTTTAAAACCAGCTAAATGATAAACATATTTTTAAACCTTTTAAATGGTAAAATAATTGACAAATAAAATATAATATAATGAATAAAGTATATAATAAACATAAATATTGAATATCTAAACTCATAATAAGATTAATAAACCTTGCAACAAGATTTATGGTGTTAAAACAGTATTTTTATGAAAGTAATTGGGTGTTAAATAAAAATCCGCAAAAATTATTAATTGTTATTACTCCCTAATGTTTTAAGCTACATATTTAAACAGAAATGTATATATATAGAGAGAGAGCATTTATTCCTTTATTAGTTTGAATTTAAATTTCTTCTATTAGTCTATTCTGATTTTCAAGGACGAGTTGATTTAGCTTTTGCAAGAGTCTTAATGACTTTCTTGAGGCAGCTGTTTATTGTGAATTAAATATCATTGCACAAATTCATTGCTGAGACCATTCCTTTAATACTCCAAAAATTCTCAGTTAGGCAGCATTCTGAGATGTTTTCCAGACTACTCACTTTGGCCACATAATTTATGGAATTCTTTTCGAAGAATGTCATTGTTGTTTTAGTGTAATGCGATCAAGCCAGGTCAAATCATCATGATGCTGTTTTGTAAATGAAAGGTACAAGTTGTTTTTGATGCTATAATTGTTGTGAGGATTTTGGTTAATGCTTAACCGCTAGGGACAAGGTACAAATTGACACTTTTTTATCAGAAATAAACAAGATAATATTAGGTTAATTTTGCAGTTTTTTAATGTTTTATCCAGACAGGAGTTTGTTCAATGTTGCTTTAGCAAAAATTACCGTTGATTGAGCCAAAGTGAAATAAGACACTTTTGGCAAAATCTTTTTAGGTGGCCATCGTTTATCATTATTATCTTTTTCATTTTATGGCAACTAATCCTTGTTTTCTTTTTTTAACTAGTCAGAGTTGTGCTACAAATTTGCAAGCAGTCTATAAGACAATTACAATCATCCAATTTATTTATTTTTTATTCTTTTTTTTTTTTTTTTATTCATTTTTCTAGAACACCACTTCCTTTAACTCTTATAATCAGAGCCATTTTCAGCTTAATAATGTCAAAGATGATTTTTTTAGATATTGGTTTTTTATTTTAAAGTTATTTAGGTTCAATTTTTTCTATAAGATCAATGTGTTTAATAAAATTAGTAAATTCTTTTTCTGTTTTTTTTTTTTTTTTTTTCCAAAATCATTTTTGTTGAACACCCTTTTTTTTAATTCTAAATTAGGCCGGCTTGAAAAGTTATTTATTAAATACCAATTTTAAATACATTCACAATCTTGCTTTTAAATCACAAACATTTCATTTATTAAATTACAAATTTTAGTTTAAATTCTTCCATGGCAAAAGTAAACACACTGAAAATTTTGTAAGAAACAGCTGCTCAGTTTTTTTATGCTCAGCAGTGTGAAGAATGCGGTTAAGATTATAAAGTTTTTTTACGTCTCATTGTTATTAAAACAGGAATAGAATATTTACACATCACTACTATCAAATATATACTCAAATACCAGCTGTAACAATTAGCCTAATAATCAGACAGCAACAGAGATGTGAAGTTCTGTAAAGGACTTTGGTTTTAAAAGTAACATGATTAACATAATTATTATTTTTAATCTTTGGTGTCTCTCGGGAGCTCTAAAAATGTTAAAAAATTTATTTAATACACTTTAAAAAATTTAAGGGCATTTAAACCTATTATTTTTAGCCCAGTGTTCTGAAGTCTTGAAGTCCCAGGCCGCCATTATACAAAAGATCTCTAGGTTTAGAATTAATATGTTTCTCTACTCTCAATTTTTCTATTTCCATAATGATATTACGCTCTTAAAGAACAGAAATTCTAATGTATTGCACTGATCATTTTTCTCATTCCAAACATTTGAACAATGACTTTCACTTATAAATTTATTGCTCAAATTTTGTGCTCATCTTAATTTACTTTTTTTTTAAATATTCATGTATAAAAATAAAATATGCAATAAAAATAATAATAAAATTAAAACGTGCCGATTAAACTTTTTACTGACTAAAACTTTTAACATTTAATTGTCATTTTCACATGTTTAACTAAATTTTTAAACATTTAACCAAAATTTTAAACATTTACATTTAAAAATTTAAACATTTGACTAAAATTATAAATTTTTAACTAAAAATTTTTAACATTAAACTAAAATTTTATTTAAACAAAGTTTTAAACATTAAATTAAAATTAAATATATAACTAAAAATTTTTGCATTAAACTAAACTTTTAAACATTCAACTAAAATTTTAAACATTGAAAAAAAAAATAAAATTGATCTCTTTATATTATGTTTAATCGCACGCTTTAGTTTTTTACTGAGAAAGATCACAACATTGATAGCGGTGACTATGTATATACGCTGATATTGGACTATTTACTGAGCAAATTAAAATCTTAATACAAGGTAGGTAACTTATTCTATTACCCTTTCCCTTTCTACTTTGAACCTGGTCATCATTTCCGTCGAAGTTATTATTCAAGTCTATATTTTTGTTAATAATGCTTTTTTTAGTAAATTACAATAAAACATTTTTCTCATTAGCAATGATTTTTGTTTTAGCTTTCGGTTTTGTTTGTAATTGTTTTTCTTTTTTTTTTTTTTCTTTATTACATAAAATTATTTATATTTTAAACTAAAGTTATTTTTATTTTATTTTTTCTTGAGTTATTACACATAGTTACAAATTTTTACAAAATTTTTTGCTGTTTATCATTTTTGTTGTTAGTTGCTAAACAGTTGCTACTTTATTACAAAATTTTTTGCTGTTTATCATTTTTGTTGTTAGTTGCTAAACAGTTGCTAACTTATTACAAATTTTTTTGCTGTTTATCATTTTTGTTGTTAGTTGCTAAACAGTTGCTAACTTATTACAAATTTTTTTGCTGTTTATCATTTTTGTTGTTAGTTGCTAAACAGTTGCTAACTTATTACAAAATTTTTTGCTGTTTATCATTTTTGTTGTTAGTTGCTAAACAGTTGCTAACTTATTATCATTTATTTATTTTCTCTGTTAGTTCCAACAGAGTGTAATTCCAAAATTATAAAAACTTTTTCTGCGTCATTTATCGTTTCAATGTTATAACATTTCAGGGACAACTGAGCATACATTCTCAATGCCTCACAAAACATTTCATGGGAAGTTGTTAGTGTGTCACAGCCTGGGTTTATTAAGGAAAATTACAAGGCGAATAATAATACATAAATTTTAGACTGAAAAATAGGTCATTAATAGATATTTGAAATAAGAGGTTTTTTTGTTTCCGCGTTGTATAATTTTTCACAAAATGTATAAAAATGTTTTGCAAGTCTGTTATCAAATACACATTAAAAATTGCATATATGTGATTTGTTTTTAAAACGCCTCAAGCTACTCTAAATACATTTCTATTACACATTATATACGTATTTGTGCTATCTGAGTAAGTTCTGTTTTTCTCATTAGTTGCTACTAGAGGATGTTGAAATTCCTCTAATGTTTTGCTATGTATCTAGACATTATATTGGCAAAAAGTAAGTGTTAGATAAGATTGTAAGAGGTACCATAAAACTTGGGCCTTGATATGATATATGAAACCTACTAAACTTCTCTAGCATAATAATTACGAGGTAGAAGAAAGGCAATGCTTTTTGTTGTTCCCAGAGTATGGAGAAAGTTGAAGAACCATCACTCTGACTGTTACTTTTGTATGATTGATATTTCAAAGTACAGAAAAGCTAAAGGAAGACGAGCTCTTTAATATCCAGACTTCTAATCACCTGCAGCACCTATTCTACATGATGGCAGCCTACCAGTACCACAACAAACAAAAAATGTAATATACTTTTTATCGTACCCTCAAAAAGTCTTAATTTAATTAAACAGGAAGTATTTACTACATATTTATTTTGTAATGAAGTTTTGAATGCTATTGTTTATTTATTTTCTGCAGTAAACATTTACTCACTGAATAGTAAACTACTTTTGCAGCAAGTTTAAAAACAACAATTTAACATTTCAAGTCACAAAATAAAGTTTTTCTTTCAAGTTTAATACTGATTTTATTTGTTTGGCATCAAACCACAAACTGTTCTAAATTGGGGTGACGCGTTTAGTAAAACTATTTTTTTTAATTGAGAGTCTACTGTTCTCAGAAATGTATCTTTTATTATGGATATATTCACAAACACTTCCAGCTAATTCTTTTGGTAAATGAAAGTTCCTCAAAAAAATGAAATTAAGCTGGTAAAAATTATTAATACATTTAAAAAAAGATAGTTAAGTCACTTCTTTCTCTTCTCATTGATAAGGTTGTTAAATTCATAAATAGCTTTGAGTTTCCTGAAATTAGTCTTGTTGCTCTATGTTGTACTCTTTCAATAAGAATATCTTTTTTCAGAAACATTTTCTAAATAGCGGAAGCATATTCAAGATGAGGGCGTACTAATAAAATATATATCAGTTGAACTATATCAGTATTTAAAAATATAATTTTGTGTTTTGGATAAGAGCTAAAATTCTATTTGCTTTAGAAACGCAAATATGATATATATTTAATACATATGATATAAAAATATTATATGGTAATCATATTTCAGATTGTTTTTTAACATGACACCATATTGTTTTATTTATGTTTATGTTGAAATCGTTAAATGTTGTTTTTTCATTTTTACGATGGAAGTTGTAGTGAATATTTTATCTCAAGAGTCAGCAAATAAAAGTAGCAAAGATTCGGAGGAAGCTTTTGCTACAATAACCACTTTTCAGCCTGCAAATCAGAGTGAGTTAAAAGATTTACTCAGAGATTTAGATCTTACCGAGACAAAAACAACTTTCATCGAGGCTGGTGGTATAGAATTTATTAGGCAAGAATCACAGGACACGTTTACAGGAAACAATATTAAGGTTTTATGATTTACTATAATTGCGTAATGACCTATGTTATTGTAAAGATGTGACTTGGTTTTTTGGCACACTTGGTACATAAGAAAGAAAGTTATGATGATCATCACACAAAAGTTCATTGCCTACCACGATTGAAACTTAAGCCAGGATTATTCAATGTTCTCAAGAAGCCTCCAGTAGATTATAACAAAATCTTATCCTTACACCCATTTCTTATTAGACTAGCATTGGTAAAAAAGTTGGTAAATGCGTTATATTTTGGAGAGGTTTTACAAAAAACTTGTCTTAAGTTTCCAAAGATCTAAGTTGATATATTCGTTAAACCCCAAATAAAAGCAATATTGAAGTGAGCGAAGCTTGAAAAAGTAATGACAAAAATATTTTGTAAAAGATATTTTTGTTGTTGACATTAAAAAAAAAAACATATTAAGTCATAAAATCTCAAATCTGAAATTTTTTTTATTTTAGTTTTATACAGATAAAGATCACAGCATTAATCCACGCTATCATTTATACGTTACTTTGGCCACATTTTTGGAAGAAAAACTGAAGTTGAAGATGATTTGAATGCTTATTTTCTCTTTTCTCCTTCAGTAAAACGGATTTCTCTTTCCGTTCTGCTTTAAAAATCTTCAATATAAAATTAAAAACAAAACTAGCTTAAAAGTTTGTGTTTAAAAAATATGTAGCTTTAAAAGTCACAAATTGTAAATAGTTATTTTGAATTGTAATAATTTTAAATTAACACAAAATTATTTTATTGACTAAAATTTTTATTATTTTACTCCTTTGTTTCATCTTGAGAATATTTTATGTAATTGAATCGTATATACGAACTATTTTTATTAACTTATCTTTGTTACCGTTTGCATATTTATTTGTGTATATTTTTTTTAATTTTGTACTATTTTTATTTCAAATTTGTATATTTTCATAATTACGAAATATCTTTTAATTGTTTTACAAAGTTTGAGTTTTCATTAAAAAAATAGTTTTAGAAAACAGAAATTAGTATAAAAATTTTTAATATAATATGTTATTATATATTATATTAGGGGGAAGCCCCCCCCCCCCCACCCCCCTAAACAGAAGTATTAAACATTTTAAACAAAATCAAGAATATAAAACATCAATATAATATGAATAAACAAAAAAATACAAAATGGTTTTTGGTTGCCATAGTAACCACAAAAAACACATAAAAATGGGCAAAAAATGCATTCACACCGGCCGTAAAAACTAAATAACCGTGCAAGATCTCTTAAAAAGCTTTCACCAAATGCTTCACAAAAGGTCAAAGGGTGTTTTAATAGCGGCATTTTTCTGTAACTAAAAATCTGAGCGATGGGTGCACATTTAAAGATGGCAAAAATATTTTTTATTCAAAATATTAAAAAATAAAAAAATTTAAACCTCAATTTAAAAAACTGTTTCTATTAAACCACAGTTAATAATCATATAAACAACTCCAGAAAATTTCATCAAAATTGGTAAAACGGTTCTTGAGATAAAATGGCCGGCGTATGAAAAAAGACTATTTTGAGAAAACGCGAAAAGAAAAAAAAATTAGCATATAAAACTTTGAAACACATATTATAGTTAAAATATCTAATAAAAAGTATTAGAAACCTCCTGCTTCATACAACTACCCATCTTTTTCTTTTTCATTATCGTTTTTATTATGTTTTTTGCCACAAATAATTTTTTGTCGCAACTTGTATTTGTATTTGGAACGTGATAGTCGTTTTTAGTTTAAATTTTTACAACCTTTAAGAGTATATACTCCTGGAATTATTTCGAAAAATTCATTAACTAAAATCGAGGCTTTTCGACCTATGTTAAAATTAGCCACTGCATCATAAACTCCAAATTCTAATTGACTGAATTATATAAATTTCATTCTAGGTAAACGTTCCCAGATAGTGCCATTAAAACTTTCATTAGTATTTTGTGTCTTACCATGTAAGCACTTTTCCAAATGTTGGTCAGCACTGAGTTCTGCAAAGATTGGTGTAATTTTATAAACAATAGCTATCGGTAAACCTGGTCCAGGTTTACAAGTTTCTTTTAAGTTGTATCATTGGCTTTACCTGAATTATATTTGCACCAATTATCAGCTCCTACTGGGCAATGTGGAAAATGTAGATTATTCTCCTTGTTGGAGGCAACATAGATTACCAGGTTTCATAGATTCTAAATCTCATTACAATACATTAGCTCTAATTGAAATACCAAAATAACTTTGCAACCGATCAATTGTTGCATCTGTTAATTTACCTCTACCACCAAGGTTTTTAGTTTTTTTTTTCAACTTTCTTGTACCTATATGTTTTCATTACATGAAACACCAGTATCAACAATATCAGTATTCAAATTGTGTCTGATTTCCGCAGTAGCATCACACATAGTCTCTATTGCTACTTTTTTCACAACTTTAGAGATGTTTTAGCAAGCTTGTCTTAGTTATTTGTAGTCATTGGCGGAGGAATATTCATAAAAGAAATGAAGTTTTCAAGTCCTGCGTGACATTGACCCAACGACCGCATTGTCTAAATAACTCGCTTATTTATGTCATATCCCTGCTTACCACTTTTTTTTATAGTACAAATATTTTTGAAAAATAAACAATTTGAACATTTTAAAACTAAAAAGGAGCAAGTCCATGTCGATCTTTTGAGTTGTCAGACAACACAAGAGAGTCTTCATTGAAGCACATTAGACAAATGAGTTCTTTAAAAATAACAAATAACACTTTTATATCTATAATTCTATATCCAGACAGTAGAGTACAAGATTCAACTACATCAATTTGTCGTATTTTTGAATTTGGTGCTGGAATATTTACAATATTATCAGAAGCGTCAGTCAGACAGTGAATCACAGTGTCATTATTAATAAAATATTTACAATTGGAGTAGATTCTTTATTTACACTATTAACAACAACTTCTTCTTCATAAAATAATGATTTTTTAACTGGAAAAGATCTATACTTTTTCATAACAATAATAGTTCGACGTTTTACTCTACAGCATTTTGGCATTCTTCTTAAATTAAATAAAATTAATCTAAGTTTGTTTTTGTCTCTTAATCTCGCTTACTTTTACTTAGCTGAACAAGAAGTATAATAGAATGAAGCATCCTAACCCAAGTTAGGCATTTCACATAAGCTTTTTTTTTTTTTTTTTTTTTTTTTTTTTATTTCAAATACGACAAAAAAATTACACTTTCGATATAACGATATAATTTTATATCAACTTACCATTAAAAAACCTAAAATTTCTGCACTTTCGAATGATTTTTATGAAAAACAAATTACATAAATGAAATCTATGATAATTTTTATGTCTAAAAACGGTCATACTAATTTTTTGTTTTTTTGATGATTTTAGAGGGAGTTTCCCCCTTAATAACATATTATATTAAGTTTTCTATTCTCATGGTAAATTTTCTTGCTATGTTTTCAAAGACCTCAAAAAAGCAAATCGCTTAATTAAATTATTGATTTAATTAACTCTAAATATTTTGCTGAGCAAAATTTAGAATTTTTTAATGTAAAATAAATGAATTTAGAACATGATGAAATAAAGAGGAAATTATATGCGTGAAGACTTTTTAGGAAATTTTAAGGAATTAAAGAACCTAAAAAAAGTTTAAATCTTTGACTTTAATTAGAAGGTCAAACTCCTATTAGAAGGTCAAAGTACAAAGTTTTGAAAAAACCGTTGTTTTTTCAGTTGCATTGATTCCAGCTTTTGAATCTTATTTATGCATGAATCAATTTTATGCTTTGTGCATAAAACTGATGTTTTAATTATAGGGCCTTTATGGTAACAATGATAAAATATTTTATAAGAAAAACGTTAAAAATCGATTTTGACAATGCTTTCCATATATGGATAAAATTTGTTTAGCACAAATACGTTCGTGGTTTAAAAAAAAAACTTATTTAGTTACAGGTATGATTTAAAAAATTCAGGGTTATCTGAAAATTTTTGACTGTTTTTCATCTTCCACTCTTTGAATTAAGTCACTAAAATCGTTTATGTGACTCGTTTTTTTTTGTCTACCAAATAATGGAACGAATTACAACATAAAGGTACAACCAATATCTAAATATTTCAATTTAATCTTGTTGATTAAAAACAATAATATCTTTAAAATCATAAATATCTTTAAAAAGAATGTTGATGGTTTGGTGGCTAAGTTGTTTAAAACTTTTATTTGTATCATTCTAACTAATGATTTTTTTAAAAAACTGCTTTCAAAAGGTATTGTTAAAACAGGTGTCTCAGATCACTTTCCTTATTTTTTTTATTTGTATAAATGCAAATTATTAAATCTCCTGAGTAAAATAACTATAGAAAAGCGTGTATAAAATAAAAAAAATAACTTAAAATCATATAAGGAACAAATTTTGAATCAAAACTGAAGCAATATTAACTTTAATAGCGTATAAACCTGATCTATGATTCTTTTTTAAAACATTTAAAACCATCTATGATGTAAATTTCCCTATTCATGGAACAATCCTTAACACCAAGCACGTATAATGTCCTTGGATAGATGACTCAAGCTTTATAAAATCATCAAAAGTGAAACAAAAACTGTACAATAAATATCTAAAATATAAATAAGTCGATCATAAAACTAACTACTTAACTTATAAAAATAACTTCAAAAGTCTCCACAAAAATACAAAAAAAAAATTACTACTCCGACTTGTTTTTGAAGTGCAAACATAAATCAAAATTAGGCAAATAATGAGAGATTATGGGAAAATAATAAGAAAAGTACAATATCAGTACCAAATGCAATAAAAATTAAAAATAAATTATTTAATGACCCTAATAAAATTGCTTTTGAATTAATAAACTTTTTTCTTCAATAGAACTTGCTTATCAAAATAATTTCTTATTTTAATGACGAATCAATTGATGAGCAAATTTGAAACAGTGTTAAGTTCATTAAAACGAAATAATGCAATTGGGGCTGATTGTTGTAATGGAAATTTTGGAACAGACTCCTTTGACATTTTAAATTTAAAATTTGTAAAGTATCTATTGCTCAAGGATCATTTCGAGACTCTCTAAAAGTAGCAAAAATAACTCCTATTTTTAAATCAGGTGACAATAGCAACATAACAAATTATTGTCTTTTTTCAGTTCTTCCAGTTTTCTCTAAAATATTAGAAATAATAATTTATAACAAAGTCTGTAATTATTTTGTCGATACTAAACTTTTATATAGTAATCAATTTGTCTTCCAGACAAATTATTCTACAGAACACTCCAATCAACGTGCAGAATTTTAAAATTTTTTATTATACACAAGGAATTTTCATTGATTTGTCTAAAGTTTTTGATAACTATCGATCACCACATTTTATTATAAAAATTAGAATTCTTTGGCATTAAAGATAAATATCTAAGCTGGTTTGAAAGCTATCTTACACTGCGCGACATTATGATAAGATACCTTTAAAATAATTATCAAACTCTACTATACATTTATATTTAAAAACTAATTTTTATAGTAAATGAGAGCAAAAGGGTTACAAGACTAAAAACATTTCGCGACGTTAGAATTATCTTGTTCTATCTCCACTTTAAAAAAAAATTGAGTTATTGATAGGATTATGTACCTCAGAATAATGTTTTTCTATTGTATTGAAACCTAAGTTATAAGTAAAAAAGTTGCCGAGAAAACGTAAGTTAAAAGTTGTTTTTATATGCCGTCTCCTAAACTTTTTATTTTTTAAATCG